GAATGGAAAAGACGAGCCGTCGTCGGGAGATCGAGAGACAGCGAGAAACGCAACCCCACCCTCGGCTTGAACTCGATCAGGACTTCGCGCCCCGCGACAGCGCGAGTTGCGGGGCCCGCCCAAGAACAGAAATCGAAAGCGCGCGCCCAGAACATGAACTCTTGGAACTCTACGATCTTAGCTTTCAGATGCGACGACAGCCTATCCCCCAACAGGAACCATGGACCAAGACGCAGCATTTCCCAATGTTCAGTGAGAGTTCAACTGACGTCGCGAGTGCATCCAGGAGCAGGAGGGAGGACCTGATATCTACAATGAAATTCCAAATGCCGAAGCTGCAATCATCTGCGCAAGCTAGATTGAAATCGAATCGAGACGGGGAGGGGGGGGGGGGGGTAATGCTGGCTACAACGCAAGCATGGGTCCATCACGAGAGCGATGAACGTTGTCGAAGTAGGGCCGCCCTGCCTCGCGCCCACTTCAACAGGGGAAATGATAGCTTTGGTCCCTAAACTAGGAGTCCGAAACAAAAAAACAATGGATTTTCACACAAAGGGTTTTGACACCACCAACGGCGCAACGCATGCGCACACATGCCACTGGATCCCCAGCGACCCGAACAAGGGTTGATGCACGGCCGTGCTTTAGGATGCAGTTGACATGCATGGTGTGGCAAGGCTGTCGGCGGCGACAAGGTCCCAAGATCCGCTACCAACAAACATTCCATGGTGGTTTGGAACAGCCAAACCACCGTGCAACGTCAGTTTGTTCATCCGTTGACAGCAGCACGTGTCGCGGCAGCAGAACGCAGTAGCGCGCGCGGGCATGCAGGGCCGGCAATGTGGCTGGCCAGCTGCCAGCGCGATTTCGGCAGAAGAGCCGACATCCACGTGGGGTCGTTTTGGGCGCGGTACCCGGCGCAGCTGCATCGCGCGGCCAGGCGCCGCGGCCTTGCGATTGTAGCGCCAGGCCCCGTGCGCTCCTCGAGGCGGGAGAGCAAGCTCTACGCAAAGGGATCGCGCGTGCCCTTGTGGGGGCGGCGACAGCGATCACACGCGCGGGAAATTCCTTTGCGCGCCCCCCGCGCTGGCAGCGTCGCCAGACCGTGCGCCGTGGAATTGCGCGAGACTTCGTGGTGCACAAAGGAATTACAGCAACGCCCTTCGGGTTGCGCTCTTCGCGCGCGGCGACAGCTCCGAGCTGGAAAGGAGGGGGGGGCGGGGCAAGGCAAAGCAGGGGGAGAGATAAAAGCAGAGGAGGGCGAGAAAGAAGCGAAGGAAGCAACGGAAGGAAGCCAGGATGCGCGCATGCGAAGCTAACGCTGCGCGCCGAGACACTTGTTCGTTCGTTCGATTGGCCGTGCGGCTGATGAATAGAAAAAGAATTGTTTGCTGCCTTTCGAAGGGTCTTGGGAATGGGAGTCGCGCTCTCTTCCCGGCCCCCTTTTTCACCCCGTTGCGAGCGCTAAACGCCGACGCCACCCCGATCCCCGCATCCGTGCCAGGCGCCCTCTTAACGACGCCCCTTTCCGGTGTAAAACCAATAAAAACCCTTTGTACCTATATGTGTTTTTTCTGTTCTGATAAACGACGGCCGCAGCGAGGCGCCGCTGCGGTGGAGCGAGGGGGCGAGGCCGATGGCGGCGCTCGGGGCGCCCGCCGCAACGTTCAACGCGCCCCCCCAATCGCCCAACCCTTCCCCTTCCCCGCGGCCGCGCGGGGCGCGGCGGCACCAGAGCACCCCGCTCGGCAGGGCCGGGGCGTTCGGGGGGGGCCGTGCGGTTTTTCCTATAATCAGGGCGGAGGCAGACGCCGTCGCTTTCGAACGCATCCTCGTTACATAATATCAAACACGCCATTCCTTGAGGAGCCGCCCGGCGCCCGCCCGGGGCCCCATCGGCCGCGGGGGCCGAATGCCTCTCGAATCGAACCGAGCCCCCCCGTCGAGCGCTTCTTGGCCCGGGCGCCGCGATGGAAGAGCGGGGGCCCCTTCGACTGTCTGGGCACGGGAAAGAAAGATGACCGGGCAAAGCGCCCAGGCAGTGCCCCCCCGCAATGGGCGGCCAATGCTCGCGCGGACAAATCGGGTGAAACGCGAGGCCGGCCATCCTCGCCCATCGCCTCGCCCCCCGCAGTCCAGCGCGCCGCCCCGTCGACGGCCATCCACGGTTGAAGAGGCAGAACCTCGACTTTTACCCGCCTCGACGCGCGGCCGGCCGCCCCGGGGCCAGCCTCGGGCCGATGATTGTTCAGTGGGCCCGGTTTTGATTTGATCCCGACGTCGACGTCGAGGCGGGCGCAGGGGGCCAGCGAAGCGCCCGCGGAAGATGCCGCCGCTGCCCCGCCCACCCGCGATGCGCCGTGAACGCGAAGCGCAGCTGCGCCGCATTGTTCGCTGCCTGTCTGTGTCTGAGCGAAGTGCCGAACCCGTCTGCCGCCGCGCCAGAAATCGTCTTCGCGCGTCCGAGCTTGTCCGACGGGGTCCGTTGGGAGCGCGCTCCCTTCTTGCTGCGCAGAGGCCTTCTCCCGATGCGCTGGCCCCCGAGCTTGGGCGGGGCAGCGGCCGCCGCCGCCGCGGGGGCGCGGTCCGACGAGGTCCGAGTGAAAATGCGCGCATGCAGCAGCGACGGCTGATTCCACCCCATCAGCGGCGCCACAAGCGGGGGACGCGTGGATTCTGCCCAGCCTCGAAGGGCCCCTGGTCGCCCCGCCGGCCATGTCCACGCGCGTCGCTCACGTCGCGAATCGTACAATTGCTAGGAAGCGCCGCGCCGCGGCCTACCCCCAGGTCCGAATTCGCCATCGGGCGGGGCCCTCCCATCCTCCATCGGGGCAGCATTCCAATCGCCCGCGATGAGAATGACGCTGCGGCAGGAGGAAGACCCGCAACGATCTGCAGAGGGCCACGCTTACACGCGCTCGCAGGGCGACGCCCGTCGGGCAAGCGGGCGATTACAACGGCCGCGTCGCCCCTCGCCAGGTCAGCTCACTGCAGTGATACTGCCCGTCTCAATTTTCGCGGGTGCGATGCCATGGAACTGACCAGAGAGCTCATCAAAGAGATGCGCGACAACCTCTCCGGCACCCCGATCGCCCATGCAAGCCCCGTAGAGGGTGCCCGTGTGGAGCTCATCAGAGACTCGCCATGGCGGCTCGCGGCCCGCGGTTCCCCAGGAAGCAGGCGGCCCGGCGCCGCCCGGGAAACTTCCTAGCCTTCCGACAGCGCAAACTTGTTCCACGTGTAGAGATAGCGAGAGACTGAACACTAAAGCAAAACACGTAACAACAAACTGTTAAAAGGGCGCAGATTCGAAGGGCGGTGGATTTCAACAGCCGCCACAGCCATGAAGAGGATAACCTCGCGATACGGCGTCGCTCGAATAAGTCCGAGTCTGGGGCCCAATCGAACCCTCGGATGCAGAGGAACCTGCGCTCCTCCCGTCAGACCCAAAAACGCCCGAGCTGCTACTGCATTCGCCTGAAGGGCAGATCTCTCCAACCTCCCCCAACTTTCTCATGGCCCTCCGAAGCGATGAGACCGCGCGCACTCCCTGCCGCGGAGCCATCATCCGCAACCGAAGCCATGACAACATGCACCGGGGTGGAGCCCTTCCTCAAGATGCGAAGAGCACGCCCGAGTCTCGTCGAGCCGACTTCGCCGCGACCAGAGGTACCCGCCACAGGCCGACCCGCCACAGGCAAAAAGGAAAATCCAAAGGGTCTGCGTGAGATCACGCCGCGCACGGAGGTCAAGGTCTGATCCACCCTCAGGGTTCGAGAACGGGAAGGGGCCCTCCGACAACGCTTTCGGATGAATCGTCGCAATCCCCAATGCGCTGGGGATGCCAAAAAAAACTGCTTGTAGCTGAGAGAAGTGATCCGCTGTCTGCTTTGCCAGGTCATCATGGACCCTCTGGAGAGCATGGTAATTCGTCTCAGATTGTATCATCTGCACCTGGATCACCGAGAACTGCAAATTGATATCACATGCACCGCGGTCGGGCTGAGTCGTCGGAGAATCAACTGCTGTCGACGCCGCCACATGCTCATGGCAGCACCTGGGGGCAAGGTGCCAGCAGCTCCCCCCGCTTGCGCCGCCGTCACCTCCAGCCCGCGACTTAACCTCCTGACGCGGCCACGGCATGGCCTGGCGCGACGCTTCCACGGCGAGAGGGGGGGTGGGGGGGCATAGGCGCCGAGGGGGAACCGCCGCCGAGGGCCAGGAGGCTCGGCCGCGGCCCGCCCATGGGGCCTGGACGCCGGGCGACTCGAGAGAAGTTGGGAAGTTTGGGAGCGAGACCCGTTGAGCCAAATTGGCTATGGAGGAGGAGGAGGCGGAGGAGGAAGAGGAGGAGGACGAGAAGGAGGAGGAGGAGGAGGGCCCTGATTACGCGGGCAGCGCCAGCTGCCCCGGCCACGCGGGGCGACGCCCGCCCTCGTCACTCAAAGGGGAGTTTGACCTGCCCGGGCGGGAGCAAAAAAGCGGGCGCGAGCGGCCACCGGTGGCCAAGCGAGCCCCGACAGGCCGAGAGGGGCACCGCGGGCCCCCAACGAGAGGCGGCGCGGCGCCCAGGAAAACAAAAAAAACAAGAGCCGTGCATTCAGGGCCCCCGATAGGGCCCCGAACACAAGGAGACAGGCAGGCCAAACCCTCCCCCAGGAGAACCAGGAAGGCGTTCACCTGCTATCCGCCCTCGGTGGCGGCCTCTTCCTTGGAGTACTGGTCGGCAACTTTCCCAACCTGAATTTTGTCCGTCTTGTCCTTATTGTCCTTATGTTTCGTCTTGCTCTTCCTCTCCGTAACCGAGTTCCTGTCGACCTGCGGCTCCGCGATCACAACTCGCGAGTCCAACGATTCGCCTTCATCTTCGCTTCCGATGTGGTACCGCTCCACGTCGACACTCTCTTGTTTCTGCAGGAATTGCTTCGCCCAGCGTGCCCACCGAGTGCACGCTGTCCCCGATGTAGAACTGCTGAGGTGGCCCAGCGACTTGTCCGTCTTCATCTCCTCCTTGACGCGCTGCTGCACGAGCACAGGCTGTGACGCTGGTAGGTTGCACGCCATGCGCTTCGAGCGGGATCCGAAGATGTTTTGATCTTGAGGTCGGGCTTCTTGGCCTCCGTCGCGCACTGCTTGGGCAGGTCCTCCACCCGACTCGGTCCCTTCTCGAAGTACTGGTCGTCCCTGATCCTCACCTTGGCCTCGAAGAGCTTCCTCGCCAGCACCCTGCCCATGCGGATGTCCAACTTCGGTTTGCGCTTGATGACCTTCAGCTTGTTCAAGCCCTCCACGAACTGCTTCTGGAACTTGCTGCGGGATCTCATCTTCTGTCCCGGCCGCTGCACGCGAGGCCCGGCCGGGAGTACCTTCATCCCACTGGGGTCCACCTGGAACCAAAGGCCGTGGGAGTCCTGATGCCAGCCCTCCTCGTGGTAAACTGTCAGAAGTCGCGCCAGCATCGACGGCGTTCGAGCAGGGGAACGAGGCCTCAGCGACTGCTTGGACTCCACCCTCTGCTGCGTCACATGCTCGATCACCTGCCCCTTCGTCTCGAGCAGCCTGCCAGCCAGCCCGTAGCCCAGGGACAGCCGTAGCAGCTGATGGGCAGGCACCTTCGGAGGGGCGAACGACCTCGCCTTCGAGACCGCCATGCAGTGGCAGAAGCGGCCCGCAAACCAAAATGTCGAGGTCTCCCTTGCCCTCCAGGATGTCCACCAAGCGAGCGAGCGCAGCAGGCCCGCCTCCGCACATGTGGTCCACTCTGATGCAGATCTGGATCATGGCTGCGCCCCCATGGCGCGCGGCCCGCGCAGGCAACGCCGCTCCCAATCGCGCCTGCGCACCGCGAGGGTATCCCGAAGGGAACGGCTAGGGAAAGGAGGAGGAGGAGGAGGAGGAGGAGGAGGAGGAGGAGGAGGAGGAGGGGGAGGAGGAGGAGGAGGAGGAGGAGGAGGAGGAGGAGGAGGAGGAGGAGGAGGACAAGGAGGAGGAGGCGGAGGAGGAGGAGGCGGAGGACGAGGAGGAGGAGGAGGAGGAGGATGAGGAGGAAAACGGGGGAGGAGAAGACGAGTCGACCGCCGACGACTCAGAGCGGGGACGGAGGCGACGGGGGTCACCCAGCCTGGCTGGCAGCGGCGGGGCGGGAATCAGAAAATCCCGAAGGAGTCCTCCAGGCCGTAGGCGGACAGATGTTACCCGTACAAGTAGATGCGGCCGCAGTTCTTCTCGACTCCCGACACGACATAGATTCAGTCTGGCCAGGCCTGAAGCCACCCCGCGCAAAGACGTGGAAGCAAATCTCGAGGAATGCATTACGTCGACATCAGTAGATCAGGCCCCCCGTATGTCAGCAACAGACATCGCACCACAACTCTTCATGAGGTCTCTCCCAGTTCTCGGCGCATCAAGGTCTATCCCTCTATATCGTCGCCTTGCAAGAAGGTCAGCAGGACACGGCCGGGCTGGATCATGGGCGCCACCCAGTCCTTCACAGTCGCCCCGAGCTTCTCGCAGCAGGAGGAGGGGGAGGAGGAGGAGGAGGAGGAGGAGGAGGAGGAGGAGGAGGAGGAGGAGGAGACGGAGGAGGAGGAGGCGGAGACGACCGCTGACAAGGTGAGTCTCCTCAACCCTCAGAAGACATGGGAGACTGCGCCTGAACTTTCCGCGGCGGCGGTGGGGCGCGGGCGAGGGCCCGTGTGTGATGAGCTTGCCAGAGTTGGAGGAACGGGGTGCCAAACGGCGGCAAGGAGGAGGAAATAGGCAGGATGGATGGAAGTGGGTACGGGTTGAGGCAGGAAAGGCCCGACTGCCCCGCGCTTAGTCGGCATTGAAAGATTGAGCCCGCGGCCACCCCGCACTCAGGGTTACTACTACTACTACTACTACTACTACTACTACTACTACTACTACTACTACTACTACTACTACTACTACTACTGATAAATAATAAGCAACATCATAATAATAACAACCCTACTCGCCAACATCATCATCATACTTATCATCATCATCATCATCATCATCATCATCATCATCATCATCATCATCATCATCATCATCCGTAGCCGTTTTGGCTCAAGGACTCAAGCGACTCAAGCTCAAACGACTCAAGCGACCGCGACTCAAGCGGCGTGGCAGCGGTGCCCCGGTCTCAAGCGACCGCATTTTACGAACACGGCCCGCTTTACGGTATTATCCCTTATCCCTTCGAATCCCCTGGTCAGAACGCGCCCCGCAGACCTCCTGGGCCTCTTCTTCTCGCGGCTACATCTACGGCTACATGCCCCGGTCGCCAGCCCCCTCCTCCTCCTGCCCCGTGGGGGGAGGAGGCGACGACGATGACGACGACGACGACGACGACGTCGTCGTGGGGGGCAGGGCAGAGGAGGGAGGAGGGGGGGGGACGCTGGCCCTACCCATAGGCGTCGGGAGGCTCATGATTTCATCATGGCTGGCGATGGCCCGTCGCCTTCCCCCCCCCTGCTTGTTGCTGTCTTCTATGACGGGGCGCTGATTATCATTAAACCCTATCGATTAGCTACTTCTTCTTGGGTTTCGGGGGAAATTCGAGGGTTACCTTCGAATTTCCAAAGAATCTCAATACGTTCTGAAACAAAATTTAATTCAATATTATTCTTCTGGGGCTGGCCTGGGGCTTGAAATTACAAGGTAACCCTGAAATTTCCGAAGAAGAATAAAAACTTCAAATTATTATTCATGGCGTGCGCGGTCCTGCTGCTTTAGCATGGAGGGTGAATTTGAAGCGCGCAACGTAAATTATTCTTGGCTGGGCGGGTGGCAAGGAGGGTTTCCTTGAATTTGCCGGTGGGGGACAGCCTATCGGGGGAAGCTTATGGAAGCCTGTGAAGGGCGGCCTGCGAGGGGCAGACTCTGGGAATCCTTGAGGATCCCTTGGGAATCCCTAAGGAATTTCTAAGGAATCCTTACGAATCCCTAGGGCATCCGCAAGAATCCCAAGAGAATCCTAAGGAATCCCGAGGGCATCCCTAGGAATCCCTAGGGAATCCTTAGGAATCCTTGAGGGCTCCTCAAGAATCCTAAGGGAATCCTGAGGAGGGATCCCTTGGGAATCGTCAGGAATCCCTAAGGAATCTTTTGGAATCCCTAACGTGTCGTTAAGAATCCCCGCGGACTCCAGAAACCCTCGGGAATCCTTATGGCCCCCTCGGGAATCAAAGAGAATCCCTGCGGAATCCTTGGGATTCAAAGCGGAATCTGCAAGAGTCCCTCGGGAATCCTGAGGAATCTTTCGGCGCTCCCAAAGAATCCCTTCGGAAATCCTCAGGAATCCTTCGGGGGTCCTGCGGGGTCCTCAGGGAATCTTCTTTCAGATTCCCTCGGGGCTTCTTAAGAAGCCCTGGTGAATCCCCAAGAATCCCTAGGGCACCCTAAGGAACCCCAAGGGGAACCTCAGGAATCCCTAGGACATGGCCCGGCGTCTTCCGAGGAATCCAGACGACTGCCACCTTGGACGTTTTCCACGCCGCATGCACACCAGGTGACCCACGAAGGGGTGGGTCACCAGAACACTGGTTGAGAGAAACAAATTGCTTCACCTGCATCCTGGGCCTCGTCATGAGGCGACGCACTGCTACTCAATATGTTTGCCATGCGGCGCAAGCACACCAGGTGACCCACGAAAGGGGTGGGTCACCAGAGAACTGGTTGGGAAAAACCAATGGTCTCACTTGCATTCTGGGCCTCAACATGAGGCGAAACATTGCCACTCAATACATGCGCCGTACGGCGCAAGCACACCTGGTGACCCACGAAGGGGTGGGTCGCCAGAAAACTGGTTGAGAAAAACAAATGGTTTCACCTGCATTCTGGGCCTCGACATGAGGCGACGCACTGCCACTCAATGCGTTTTCGATACGGCGCAAGCACACCAGGTGACCCACGAAGGGGTGGGTCACCAGGAAACTGGTTGAGAAAAACAATTGATTCACTTGCATTCTGGGCCTCAACATGAGGCGACGCACTGCCACTCAATGCGTTTTCCATTCGGCGCAAGCACACCAGGTGACCCACGAAGGGGTGGGTCACCAGAAAACTGATTGAGAAAACCAACTGTTTCACTTGCATTCTGGGCCTCAACATGAGGCGATGCACTGCCACTCAATACGTTTCCCATGCGGCGCAAGCACACCAGGTGACCCACGAAAGGGGTGGGTCACCAAAAATCTTGTTGAGAAAAACCCATTTGCCACTGAATGCGTTTTCCATACGGCGCAAGCACACCAGATGACCCACGAAGGGGTGGGTCACCAGACAACTGGTTGAGAAAAACCAACTGTTTCACTTGCATTCTGGGCCTCAACATGATGAGGCGATGCACTGCCACTCAATACGTTTTCCATACGGCGCAAGCAAACCGGGTGACCCACCAAGGGGTGGGCCACCAGACAACTGGCTGAGAAAAACAATTAGTTGCACTTGCATTCTGGGCCTCAACATGAGGCGATGCATTGCCACTCAATACGTTTCCCATACGGCGCAAGCACACCAGGGGACCCACGAAGGGGTGGGTCACCAGAGAACTTGTTGGGACAAAAACAAATTTGTTTCACCTGCATCCTGGGCCTCGTCATGAGGCGACGCACTGCCACTCTGTATGTTTGCCATACGGCGCAAGCACACCAGGTGACCCACGAAGGGGCGGGTCACAAGACAGCTGGTTGAGAACAACCAGCTGTTTCACTTGCATTCTGGGCCTCAACATGAGGCGAGGCATTGCCACTCAATACGTTTGCCATACGGCGCAAGCCCACTGGGTGACCCACGGAGGGGTGGGTCACTAGAAAATTGGTCGAGAAAAACCAATTGTTTCACTTGCATTCTGGGCCTCAACATGAGGCGACGCACTGCCACTCAATGCGTTTTCGCTACGGCGCGAGCACACCAGGTGACCCACGGAGGGGTGGGTCACCAGACAAGTGGTTGAGAAAAACAATTTGTTTCACTTGCATTCTGGGCCTCAACATGAGGCGAGGCATTACCACTCAATACGTTTCCAGGCGGCGCAAGCACACCAGGTGACCCACGAAGGGGTGGGTGACTAGAAAACTGGTTGAGAAAAACAAATGGTTTCACTTGCGTTCTGGGCCTCATCATGAGGCGATGCATTGCCACTCAATGCGTTTCCCATACGGCGCAAGCACACCGGGTGACCCACGAAGGGGTGGGTCACCAGAAAACTGGTTGAGAAAAAAACCCACTTGCATTCTGGGCCTCAACATGAGGCGACGCATTGCCACTCAATGCGTTTTCCATGCAGCGCAAACACACCAGGTGACCCACGAAGAGGTGGGTCACCAGAGAACTGGTTGAGAAAAACAAAATGTTCCAATTGCATTCTGGGCCTCAACATGAGGCGATGCATTGCCACTCAACACGTTTTCCATACGGCGCAAGCACACCGGGTAACCCACGAAGGGGTGGGTCACCAGACAGCTGGTTGAGGATAACAAGTTGCTTCGCTTGCATTCTGGGCCTCAACATGAGGCGATGCATTTCCACTCAATACGTTTTCCATACGGCGCAAGCACACCAGGGGGCCCACGAAGAGGTGGGTCACCAGAAAACTGGTTGAGAAAAACAAATTGTTTCACCTGCATCCTGGGCTTCGTCA